TGGCATAACATTAAAAACTGCTCCATTATCCACGAAAACCTTTGTGATTGGTTTCCCACAAATATGAGCATTAACATACAGAGGCTTCAAATGGGAGATCGCACCCTCTGGAATAGGAGGAAACACAATCGAAGGTGGCTCCGGTTGAGGCTCAGAGTCTGAGGTCTTTGCCCCCTCTGTCTCCTCTAATTCACCATCTGCCAAGAAAGCCCATAAAGGTTCGTCCATAGTTTCATCTACCAGACTCGCCCACGTCGGTTCATCACTCATCTGATTAATCTCTGTCATTCGACAAGGGATTCGTGGTCCCAGACGAGATTTCACAGATCTTGAACTTTCCTCTGTAGTTATAACTTCTTCCTTCGTCTTGTTCTGAGGTTGAAGCGTCAAAGATTCTATACGGAAGTCTTCAAGAGATGGATTGATGTTGATTCGTTCACAATGTTGGCATCTAAAACCTTTAATTATTTCATCTGCCACACCTTTACCTTTCCCCAGTCCCGACGAACTTCTTTTGGTATGGTCGGCAGCGCCTAATCCGTCATTCGGTTGCTTTCCTGACCAGACCCGACTGGACCGACCAACTGGAGACTGAATGGTTACTCCCTGCTCGTTGGTCGTTTGTTCTGTAAAGATCCGAATGGACGGATCTCCTGCCAAGTGGTCGGCTGCTTTTTGTTCGTCGGTTAGTTGTTTTGTTGAAGGACCTCTTTTCCCATACTTTGCAGCATACCTGCGTTTGGCATTGCGAATCTGTGTACGATTCATACCCGGGAAACGAGGGTCTATATCAACTGGTAAAGGCTTTTTATTTCGAGCCCAATTGCTCCCGACTGACCCTGTTTTTCTGGTCGGGTGGTCACGAACTAACGCCCTTTCTTTCACCTCCACATTAAAAGAACCGTCTGGGTGGTCCCATTTTTCAGCGACTGGTTTCTCACAAACTTTGAGTCGTTCTTCAGGTCGGCTGCTTTTTGGCTGATTTCCTTTCTTTGTTCCGGGGCTTGCCTGAGTTCGTACCCCTGTTTGTCCATCATTGGCCGAACTTTTCCTTGTTTCCGAACTTGGTTGGATGTCAACCATTGCCGTTGTTACTTTCGGAAACGGTTGCTGGTCTACACCTAGAGTGATGTATTTGAGCCGACCCGTCTTGATGGCCTTTTGAATTTCCTTCCTGAAATGAGTACACTGACTTGTAGTGTGTGTGAAAGAATTATGCCACTTACAATATGGTCTCCCTTTGATTTCTTCTTTAGTGGCAAGTCTTTGCCCCTTTGGAATACGGATCTGACCATCAGTCAGCAAGATATCAAAAATTTCATCAGCTTTTGAACTATCAAAGGTTGGTTGCTCCTTTCCTTCAGATCCTGGTACTGGCTTCAATTTAGGACATACATACGGTTTTCCAGAAAGGATTTCGGCTGCCATCTCTTCTGACTGATTAAAATCAAAGTCGCATGTTTCTGTTCCCATACTCGCCATATGTTGGCCTCTATTACGCCTGTTATGCTGATCTTCCTCTCTGAACAAAGACTCTAGACGTCCTGCCTTGGATGCAAGACTTGCCAAATCCTCAACATCCAGGGCAGTGAGTGCCTTTCTTAAACGATTATGCATATTCCGGACCACTAAATTAGTCATCTCTTTCTCACTGATTACCGTAGGACATCGTCCCTTCATCAATCGCACCCTTTCTATAAACTGTGAAGCAGTTTCTTCTGGATACTGTCTCAATTCAAGTAAATCAGTTAAAGAAACAACTGGTAAAGGATTAAAGAATCTAGCGTGAAATGCCATCTCCAGTCCTTCCCATGTCTGAATTTGTCCTGGAGGCAAACTTACAAACCACGAAAACGCCGTTCTAGTAAGAGATAAACCAAACAGCTGTAACTTATAAAAAGGGTTATTGCCAACTTCTCCTAATTGTGCTGTGAACCGACCAACATGTTCTATGGTGGAAGATCCGTCCTCCCCTGAGAATGCATGAAAGTCGGGTGGTCGAAAATTCCTTGGGAGAGGGTGTTCATGAATGATCCTTTCTGGGAAAGGTCTTTGATATGCAGGGCGGTTAGCCATCTGAGGAGTTAATCCATACTGATCCCTTAATATATGTGCAATCTCATCAGGATCTACATGAAAGCGTTGATGATCAGGAACCTGGAACGGATCCTGCACAGGAATATGAATCGGATCATGTATATATCCTTCAGGCCTGTCCTCCCTTGTATTGTTCGGCTGCGAATTGGTAACCCTTGGTCCCAGTGGAACATTGTTGGGAAAAGTCAAAGGAGTTTTTCCCCGATCCATTCGGTTGGGATTTGTGGCACTTGGGAATGTACTATCCACGAATGATGGCCCTGCGAAATTTGCCTGTGGTCTGGACGGTGACATTCCTGGTGGCGTTTGAGTGGGTTGAAGACTAACCCTTGACAGTGCTTGATCTATCATGTTCTGCAACTGACTCTGTTGCTCACGCAACATGTTCGTTTGTTGCTCACGCAACATATTCTGCATAACCAAGGTATGCTGGTTGTTCATTTGTTGAACATAAGACCACCAATCAGTTGGTGGTTGTGGGATTTCCCCGGCATTTGGCACAATGGGTGGTGGAACGGATTCTCCCACCGGTGTCGAAGATGCTTGCGGTTGTGAACCTGCCATAACCCTTCCGATGATTCGGCCGGATCTAAGACGTATGAAATTATCGCCGGAATTGGAATGAGCAATTTTGTCTTGCTCCCACTGTGGTCGCCAATTTGTTGATGTAATTTTTCAACAAAAATAAAGTAAAATTCAAAGATATTAAAAATATCCTTAAACTTGATTAATTAGTGCCTGAGATTAGGAATCTCTAAACACTGTAACGTACAGAAAGTAAATTGGAAAATAAAAGACTGAAATTTAAAGTGGTGATCCCCAAATCTGACTTTGCTTTGTTGAAGTTGATTGAAGATGCCTTGCCAAATGATGATCCAAATCCTTAAATATTCCCTGGGAAACCGTACTGAAAACCGTCACCCGAACGGTTACAACGTCTCCTTCTCAACCGTCTTCCAACCTTTCTCATGCTGACACGTGTTCCCAGCAGACCAAAATTCCCTATATTTCACTCCTTGAGCCGACCACAGACCTTCCGCTCTTTTGGCCCGACTTCGTCCTTCGTCCGACCTACTTCTTCGCCCGATCCCACTTGGGCCGACCTCCATATCAACCGCCCCCTGTCTTTGATCAAAGGCCTCCGCGTTTGTCCGACTCCTCCTTCTATCCGACCTACAGTTTACCCGACCTGCGGATATCTCATCTCGACGACTTTCCGTCTCGAGGACCTCCCGACTTGAAAACCTTCCGACTCATCGTCTTTCCGTCTTGCGGACCTCCCGACCTGAAGACCTTCCGACTTGAGTTCTTTCCGTCTTGTGGACCTCCCGACCTGAAGACCTTCCGACTTGAGGTCTTCCCGTCTTGCGGACCTCCCGACCTGAAGACCTTCCGACTTGAGGTCTTTCCGTCTTGCGGACCTCCCGACCTGAAGACCTTCCGACTTGATGTCTTTCCGTCTTGCGACCCTTCCGACCTGAAGACCTTCCGACTTGAGGTCTTTCCGTCTTGCGGACCTCCCGACCTGAAGACCTTCCGACTTGAGGTCTTTCCGTCTTGCGGACCTCCCGACCTGAAGACCTTCCGACTTGAGGTCTTTCCGTCTTGCGGACCTCCCGACCTGAAGACCTTCCGACTTGAGGTCTTCCTTAGAAATAAATAAATAAATTTATTTTCCTTGATTTCCTCACGGTGTCCTTCAGCCAGTTCAATCAACCCTATTGCCAAGCCCATTCTTCTTTTTACCTTGGGCTTTTAACCTAATTCTAAATTTCGTACATAACAATAATGTTATAAGAATTCGGTTCAATTCAACTCAATTTATTCGGCTTGACTCGGTTCGGTGATAATATTGATGAGTTACCACACTCACCACGTAGCCACACGGTGAATGGACATCAACGTTTAGACTTTTTAGTATACTAAGTTACTTATTTTAAGTGAAAAAATTTAATATATGACCAATTTAATAACTTTATAAGAAACATGGTTCAATTCATCTCAATTTTATTCAATTCGGCTCAATTCAACTTAATTTATTCGATTCGATTTTATTCAGTTTGGTTCGATTCAATTCTACGATAATACCGATGAGATATCCTACTCACCACCTAACCACTCAATGAATGAATGATGGCGTTTAGACTTTTTAATTTATCATGTTACTTATTTTAGACAGAACAATTTAATATATTCGGTTTAATAATATTATAAAAAAACCCGGTTCAGTCCATCCAATTCTATTCGATTCGACTCAATGTCGGTTCGGCGATAATTTCGATAAGTTGTCCTACACATCACCTAACTACACGAATTTGAAAGATGACGTTCGATTCTTTAATTTAATAATTTATTTATTTTGTCAGAACATTTTAATATATCACCAGTTTAATAATATTATAAATATTCGGTTCAATTCAACTCAACTCAACTCAATTTATTTTATTCCACACCACCGATGAGATATTCTACTAATCACCTAACCATACAATGAATAAACGACCATATTTTGACCTTTTAATTTATTAAGTTACTTATTTTATACAAAATTTCATATATTGTCGGTTTAATAATATTATAAAGAACTCGGTTCTATTCAACTCAATTTTATTCAATTCGATTCAATATAGTTCAGCAATAATACACATAAGTTACCTTATTTATCACATAATCATATAATTCGAGGAGATCATATACAATTATTTTATTTAACATATTACTTATTATAGGTAGAATAATTTAATATATCGTCGGTTTAATAATATTACAAGGAATCGGCTCGATTCGACTCGGTGCGGTTCGGCGATAATACCTATAAAATATACCTAACCACACAAATTAACCATGGTTAAAATGACCATGGTATGGCACAAATGAGGAAAAACAGCCCCTTTATATATGTTGCCCTTAGGGCTTGCCTTTGCCCCTCAAAGGAAATGGAAATTGCGTGATATTTCTGCTTTCACACCCATCGAGTGAGGCAATTCAAGTGCGAGCGAGATTTCCGGCGAGTTCGGGGAGACGCCGGCCATCAGATCTATCTGGTAAAAATCTTGAATAAATAATAAATAAATAAAAGGAATCCCACTTTTTTCGCTCTGATTTTAGAGGGTTTTTGATTTGATGTGATTTATGGAGACGTGGGTGTCTGTGGAGGTGTGTCCGAAAATGTGGGGCGGGTGTCTGAATTGCGGATTTTGAATTTTGGGTTGGGGTGGTGGTTGACTTGCCCTAGGTTCTGTTGGCGCATGGGTTGGGGTCTTTTTAATTTATTATTGAGAATTGTAATTAATTTTGTGCCTTTTTTTGGTGGGAGATCTGAGGTTTTGTTTGCTTCTGATGTTTGGAATTGGGTGATTTGTTTGCTCTGCCGCGTTGTAGTGATTATTGTTTCGATTTCTCTAATCTCTGGCTTCTGCTGCTGTTGTTGTTGTTGTCTGAAGAATCAATTTGCTGTATGTGTTTTTGAGCACGGTCGTTTTCTTTTTGGGAAGTTGTGAGTCTTTCGAGGTTGAATTTCCTGCACGCATTTGATGCTGGGTCCCGCAGCCAAATGGCGTTCTCTGACTATAATCTGTGTTGATCATTCTTGGATGAGTTTCCTGAGGGAATTATGTAAATTCTATTCGGTTTTGTTGTTAGGTTTGTGCCGGAATAGCAGAATCGGTGTTTTTCCGGGAGAGTTTGGCGTTTCTGTATGCAATCCGGGGGCGGGCCTCCACAGGGTGGAGGAGGTGGGCATGGTCGGAGCACTGCTGCATCGGCCTCGGCCTCACCGTCCTCATCTTCGTCAGCGGCCTTTGATCAGCAACAGCAGCAGCAGCAAAGACAGGTGGTTTTATTGTGTTAATTAATATGTTTTGAGCATTTTCTGCTTTATTCTGACACTTGGCACGGATTTTATCTCTAATTATGTGTAGCTTCTCTGGACTAGTGTTAATTGTTTACTAAATTTGGATTTATGGTATTGCTGAATGGGAGTGGAGCTTTGTTTGTTGTCTGATGTTTGCGTTTTGATGTTCAAAATTGTTGAAATTTGCGGATTCCCTTGTACAAAGGAATCTGTTTTCTCTGTTCTCAATTTTAGAACAGGAACCATAGCTGTAGTTTATTATACCAACTGCATAATATATTCCAAAGTTTGGTGGCATTTAATGCGTTAGTCATGGCTTCATTTCTTTTTTGGAAATCTTTATGTGAGAAATGGATTTTTACTCCTGGATTCCATTTTCTCTGATCTTAACAGAAGATTATATAAACTGGAACTCATCTATGGTTCCTGGATTTTTTCTTCCTCATTATCTTTGTTTTCTTGATGCAACTTTACTTACCTATATTTCTACCTTTTGAGTTTTATTTAACTTTGACATGGTTTGAGATAATACAGACACCACATAAATATGGCATCTCCCTGAGATGCCATGTGGCCCAGCCTTATTGACACATGTATTTATTTGTGGCTACATTGTCATATTTGGGAAACAATTAATTGTTTGTTTGTCTTTGATGGTTTGCAATTTTCTATTTTGGATTCATTTTGGCACTGCTCTAGATTATTTTGTCTGTATGTGGGTTCTATCATAGGCTTGTTGTAAGTTCACCCCACAAAGTTTTTATGTTTAAGATATATCTTTGGGAGTACAATTCTGACGGTGACAAGTCTGGCACGGGATAAATTGATAAATGGGTTATACATATGCTGGGGTAGCTTCACCATGACTCTTTATGTTATCATCATTCCTGTGGGATCATGTCCTTGACACCCTTTGTGAATAATCTTATAGTATTGCTTTTAACAGAGTTATGGAAGTACCACCGTGAACTCCTCCTCCCTGATACATCTTCCCTAAATATACCTCCCTGATACATCTTCCCTAAATATACCTCCCTGATACATTTTTAGGCAGTTAGAGCTATTCTTTCTTTTTGCTTTTCATTAATAATTTTCTCTTATTTTCATTTCAATCTGACTCTTGCATCTACTGTGATTTTTGCAATTTTGGCACCCAATTGTATTATATGAAACAACTCACAATTGTTATTGTTCTATGTAGCTATTACAACAACATTTTCTGAGGAGGGCTGAAGGTAATGATGCCCTTTTGGCCTACCAATCTGGCAATATTCATGGAGCTCTTGGAGGGGCAAATTTTGCTGCAGCATCTGGATCTGTGCAACTACCACAGCAGCCAAGGAAGTTCATTGATTTGGGCCAACCTCATGGTTCTCCAAATATTGGTGAACAAGGCCACAATAGGAGTCCAGCTGTTGAACAGCAAATGATTAATCCTTTCCAGCAAGCTTATCTACAATATGCCTTCCAGGCAGCTCAGCAGCAAAAGTCGTCCTTGGGGAAGCAACCTCAGCAACAGCAACAGCAGCAGCAGCAGCAGCAGCAGCAGCAGCAGCTGAAATCTGGAATGCTTGGCTCTCTTGCCAAAGAACAAGAAATGCGGTTAGCAAATATGAAGATGCAAGAGCTGATCTCCCAGCAAGCAGCGAATCAATTGCAGGCATCTGCCTCCAAGAAACCGTCAGAGCAGATTAGTCAGAGTGACAGGCAGGCAGATCAGGGTCAACGTTCTGTGCCTGATCAAAGAATTGATCCAAAGCAGAATAATGCCACCCTACATGGTCAAGCAATGACAATGCTTGGGGCACAACCGACACAAAATGTCATGAACATGACAAACAATCAAATTGCTGTTGCTGCGCAGATGCAACAGGCACTACAAGCTCTGGCGCATGAACGGAATATAGACCTGTCAAATCCTGCTAATGCCAGCATGATCGCCCAGCTTATTCCAGTCATGCAGTCCAGGATCCTTGCCCAGCAAAAGGCAAATGAAAATAGTAGTGGAATGCAGTCTCAAACTTTTACAAAACATGTTACCTCACCGCAAGGCGGAAATGAAAGCTCTCCTCGTGGTAATTCCTCAAGCGATGTCTCTGGGCAATCTGGTTCTTCTAAAGCTAGACAGACTGTTACTCCTAGTACTCTTGGCATAAATTCCAGTGCTGCTCTGGGTAACAACTCCAGCAATATAACCGGGCAGCCATTCCCCATGCATGGTAGAGATAACAATGTGCCTTCTCGTCAGCCCGCCTTAATTGGCCATGGAATGACTGCTTCCTCGCAGTTGTCTGGGAACCAAGGAATTGACAGTTCAATTCTTACGAAAACTTCAGCTGCTAACACAGAATCTTCTCAGGCCCAAAATGCCAGAAGACCTCCACAACCTGCTCCTCCGCCTGCACCTCTAGCTCCACCTCCGACTAATGATGTGGATGTGGTCATTCCAGCAGCTGCTCAAGGTGGGCCTTTAGCTCCAATGCGACAGCCAAATACTGGGTTTTCCAGACCACAGTTGCATGTACTTAAAGCACAGATCCTTGCATTTAGGCGCTTGAAGGTTTTGGTTATTCTGTCTTCACTTTCAAAATTTAATTTTCTCTGCCCTTTTGTTGTTAAAATTTGTTAAGTATATATAGACATCCGTACCAATTCTTCTTGTTTGATTTTCTTGTAGAAAGGAGAAGTAAATCTTCCCCGGGAACTTCTTGATGCTATTGCTCCTCCTCCTCCGCCTCCTCCTGATTTGCAAATGCAACAGGCAGTTCCCCCTCCCGCTGCTGTGAGGGATGGAGCAGTAGAAAATTTAAATGAACATGCAAGAGCAATAGAGTCTAGTGAGAGGGGTCCAAATGTTTCTAAACCAGCTGCTGGAGCAAGCAATTTAAAAGAGAGAAACCTCGGAGATGATCGAAGAACCACATCATCTACATTTGACATGCAAAGCTCCTCAATTGCAATAAAGGAACCAAGATTTGCACCTCCTACTGGAAAAGAAGAGCAGCAAAGTCTTGTTACTCTTGGGAAATCTGATCAGGATGCAGAACAAGCCAATCTGAAAGCTTCTGTTAGGAGTGACATTGCCGCAGATAGGGGAAAAGCAATCGCCACTGAATCAACCGTTTCAGAACAATTGCAAGCTAAGAAACAGATGCAACCAAATAATACTATGCAACCTAAGGATTCTGCTTCAGCTAGAAAGTATCATGGGCCGTTGTTTGATTTCCCCATCTTTACGAGGAAACATGATGCTCTTGGGGCCTCCATGATGAACACCAATAACAACCTAACTCTTGCATATGAATGCCAAGAACTTTTTGCTGATGGAGGTGGGGAAATTCGTAAAAGGAAAAGGGAAGAGAAACTTGATAAGATTGATAAGATACTTGCTGTTAATTTAGAAAGGAAACGAATTAGACCAGATCTTGTCCTACGCCTACAGATTGAAGCAAAGAAGATCCAGCTTGCTGAGCATCAGGCCCGGTTGAGGGATGAGATTGAGCAACAACAGCAGGAAATCATGGCTATGCCGGATAGACCATATCGCAAATTTGTTAGATTATGTGAGCGTCAACGACAAGAACTTAACAGGCAATCGCAGGCCAACCAAAAGGCAGCTCGGGAGAAGCATTTGAAATCCATATTCCTGTGGCGCAAGAAGCTTCTCGAGGCACATTGGGCCATCCGTGATGCCCGAGCTACCCGTAATAGAGGAGTTCATAAGTATCATGAAAGGATGTTAAGAGAGTTTTCCAAGAGGAAGGATGATGGTCGAAATAAGAGGATGGAGGCTTTGAAAAATAATGATGTGGAACGCTACAGAGAGATGCTGCTGGAGCAACAAAGTAATATTCCTGGAGAGGCTGCCGAAAGATATGCTGTTTTATCGTCATTCTTAAGTCAAACTGAAGATTATCTTCACAAATTGGGAAGTAAAATAACAGCTGCCAAAAATCAGCAGGAGGTTGAGGAGGCAGCTAATGTGGCAGCTGCAGCTGCACGGGCCCAGGTAAACACACTCACACACTCTCTCTGTGTCCTTCTCATGCACTAAACCCCCCCCCCCCCCCCCCAAGTAAATGACACACCTAAGGCACTGGTGTTCTTAAGGGCACAAGTTTTGTTCTTTGCAACTCTTTTGAGAATTTTTTCTTTGGACAAAGGGTCTCTCTGAAGAAGAAGTAAGAGCCGCTGCTGCTTGCGCCAGGGAAGAAGTGATGATAAGGAATCGATTTTCTGAGATGAATGCACCCAGAGAGAGTTCATCAGTGAACAAGTAAGCTTCTTTGGCTACTTTTGATAATTGACATTGCACTCATATTAAGAATTATCTTATCACAATTTGTAACTATTTAATGCTTTTGAGTTTTTTATTTGGTTGTGTAATCTGCTTTTCTTCTGAGAATGTCTTGTGCTTGTATGGTTTAGTTAAGAAAACTAAAATTTCATACTTCTATACACTAAATTAGAATGACATGCTTATATTCTTCTTGTTTTTCCATTTTAACTCCCTACTAGGTATTACAACCTTGCGCATGCTGTGAATGAGAGGATCCTCAGGCAGCCCTCAATGTTACGAGCTGGAAAGCTGCGAGAGTATCAGCTTGTCAGTTGCCTTGTTTAACTTTGCACTCCCCGATTTGTTCTTAATCGAATAGCTTATTGTTGACTTCAGTATGTCCATTATGTAATAAGTTATTGGCCTGACATCACTCATTTATGCAGGTTGGTTTGCAGTGGATGTTATCTTTGTATAACAACAAATTAAATGGGATTTTGGCAGATGAAATGGGGCTTGGGAAGACTGTACAGGTGAGTTACTGATTGAATGCTAATTTGAAAATTTCACTGTGCAACTGTATTCCTATGAGAAGTGCTATGGTTTTGTGCATGATTTTATATCATGATCATGGGATCTCACTGTTTCCCCATTATTTAATGAATTGGTGCATATTGTTGTTCGTGGAAGTTTTTGGTTGTGCATGATTAAGATTTTCTTGCAGGTAATATCCTTGATTGCTTATTTGATGGAGTTTAAGGGAAACTATGGTCCACACCTTATTATTGTTCCTAATGCTGTCCTGGTGAACTGGAAGGTAGCTTTTCTTTGGTAGCTCCAATTGTATTCCTACCCAAATCAATATATGTATTTATTTTAATAATATATTTATGCGTTATATCTCAGAGTGAATTACGCAGTTGGCTTCCTTCTGCCTCCTGCATATATTATGTTGGTGGGAAAGACCAGCGATCAAAATTGTTTTCTCAGGTAATAATAGTTTCTTCCTTCAATCATTTGAGCATTACATTGGTGAATAAATTTCTTATTCCCTGAATTATGTGTTTATCTGCTGTGCAGGACGTGATGGCCATGAAGTTTAATATCCTTGTGACAACCTATGAATTCGTTATGTATGATCGATCAAAACTTTCAAAAGTTGATTGGAAGTACATTATTATTGATGAAGCACAACGGATGAAGGATCGAGAGTCTGTTCTGGCTCGTGACCTCGATAGATATCGCTGCCAAAGGCGGTTGCTTCTTACAGGGACACCATTGCAGGTTGAAACCTTTTGTTTGTGTAGCATCTCTTGAAATTGTGAAACATTTGTTTTACTTGCCTTTGACTATCAAAATTTTGTTATTGTGGATTCTTCTTCCTTGACACGCAAATGACATGGAACCCTCATGCTATCTTCTGCAATTTTCATTTTCCCCTTAACAACTCTGAACTTCACTAATCACTATCTATTATTTGCAGAATGATCTTAAAGAACTTTGGTCTCTTCTGAACCTATTGCTCCCAGAAGTGTTTGATAATCGCAAAGCATTTCATGACTGGTTCTCGCAACCATTTCAAAAAGAAGGCCCCATGCATGAAGATGACTGGCTTGAGACTGAGAAAAAGGTGATAATTATTCATAGGCTTCATCAAATTTTGGAGCCTTTTATGCTCCGGCGCCGTGTTGAAGATGTAGAAGGATCACTTCCACCAAAGGTATGCCTTGGGTTAATGATTGGTAGTTTGTGATATGGATTACTCAACTCAAGTTACTTATAACTTGCTATTGGTATGCAGGTTTCAATTGTTTTGAAATGTAGAATGTCTGCGATACAGAGTGCCATTTATGATTGGATTAAATCTACGGGTACCCTTAGGGTTGATCCTGAAGATGAACTGCGAAAGACCCAAAAAAGTTCACTATACCAGGCTAAAGTTTACAAAACCTTAAACAACAGATGCATGGAGCTAAGAAAAGCTTGCAATCATCCACTGCTCAATTATCCATATTTCAGTGACTTTTCAAAGGATTTTCTGGTGAAGTCGTGCGGAAAGTTGTGGATTCTGGATAGGATTTTAATTAAGCTTCAGAGAACTGGGCATAGGGTACTACTGTTTAGCACTATGACGAAGCTTCTTGATATAATGGAAGAATATTTACAATGGCGGAGGCTTGTATTCAGAAGAATTGATGGGACTACTAGTTTGGAAGATCGTGAGAGTGCTATTGTGGATTTTAACAGTCCAGATACTGATTGCTTTATTTTTCTGCTAAGCATTCGTGCTGCTGGAAGGGGTCTGAATCTTCAGACTGCCGACACGGTCATCATATATGATCCAGATCCAAATCCCAAAAATGAGGAGCAGGCTGTTGCTCGAGCCCACCGTATTGGACAGACGAGGGAGGTGAAAGTCATATACATGGAAGCTGTGGTTGACAAGATAGCCAGTCACCAGAAAGAAGATGAATTTCGGAATGGAGGAATGATTGATTCTGATGATGATCTTGCCGGCAAGGACCGGTACATGGGTTCGATTGAGAGCCTGATTAGGAATAATATCCAGCAGTATAAGATTGACATGGCCGATGAAGTTATAAATGCTGGACGATTTGACCAGAGGACTACACATGAAGAGAGGCGAATGACTTTAGAAAACCTGTTGCATGATGAAGAAAGATACCAGGAAACAGTTCATGATGTTCCTGCTCTTCATGAAGTTAACCGCATGATTGCTCGGAGTGAGGAAGAAGTTGATCTCTTCGATCAAATGGATGAAGAACTTGATTGGCCAGAGGAGATGACGAGATATGATCAGGTTCCCAGTTGGCTTCGTGCTAATTCAAAAGAAGTAAATGACACCATTGCTAATTTATCAAAGAAGCCATCAAAGTATGCTTTATATGGATCAAGTATTGGCCGGAATGCTGGTGAAGTGGCTGCTGAGCCTGAGAGAAAGAGGGGGAGGCCTAGGGGAAAAACACCAGTTTATACTGAGTTGGATGAAGACAATGAAGAATTTTCTGAAGCTAGCTCCGAGGATAGGAATGGCTATTCTATTCCCGAAGAAGAAGGGGACATTGGAGAGTTTGAAGACGACGAATCTACTGAGGTGGCTCCCCAAGTTAATAAAGATCAATCTGAAGATGAGGTTCCTGTTTCTGCTGAGAGATATGAGTACCAAAGAGCGGTGGAGAGTGTTAAAAAAACTAATACACTCGAAGAAGCTGGCTCATCTGGTTCCTCTTCTCATAGTCGGAGATTGATGCGTGTGACATCGCCTTCAGTATCCTCTCAGAAGTTTGGGTCTCTTTCTGCTCTGGATAGCAGGTCCCATTCGAAGAAGGTACTATACTATGGTTTGTGTATGCATTCTGTAATTGAGTTTTGGGTCTTTTGACGAACGAACTGATTGTATGTGCTTTTATTTTCAAAATTCAGGCAGAAGAACTGGAAGAAGGAGAAATAGCTGCATCGGGAGATTCCCCAATGGACCAACAGCAGTCTGGAAGCTGGATCCAAGATCGTGATGAAGGTGAAGAGGAACAGGTCTTACAGCCGAAAATTAAACGGAAGCGAAGCATTCGTCTGCGCCCCCGGCCTGCTGCGGAGAGATCTGAAGAGAAGCACAGTGACAAGCCATCTATCCGCCGTGGTGATCCTTCTCCATTGCCATTCCAGGGGGACCATAAGTACAAGTCTTTAGCAAGGGAGGACCGCCCCCAAAGAGTTATCGGGGATTCAAGTTCATTGAAATCTGAGAAAAGCGATTCATCCCTCAAGAACAAGCGAACTGTACCATTGAGGAAAAACACATCCAATGTTAAGGTGTCTATTAAGTCTGGGAAGCTGAATCTTGGATCTGCACCCTCTGATCGTGCTACGGAACGCACAAAAGATGATGTGGACACTAAAGTCGTGAAAGGGGCTAAAAGCAGCGGGAGCAAGATGCCTGATTTGGTCCAAAGGAAGGCATGTTGATTGAAGGCCATGGTTTTTTCTATATATAATATAATTGTATCTTTTGTTCTTGTATTTATGTTTGATTAAGATATATGTTCGTGCAATTGTGTTACAGTGCAAGACCGTCATTAGCAAGCTCCAGAGAAGAATAGACAATGAAGGTCATCAAATTATACCCCTGCTAACCGAACTGTGGAAGAGAATTGAGAACTCCAGTGGAGCGGGCGATAACATTTTGAATTTGAAAAAGATTCATCTCCGCGTGGACAGATCTGAGTACAGTGGAGTAATGGAGCTTGTGTCCGATGTGCAGCATTTGTTGAAGTACAGCATGCAATACTATGGTTTCTCGTACGAGGTATGAATTGATTATTTGTTCCGTATCTTTTTCTATGTTTTGCAATAGCCTCCAATATTAAGCTCTCTTTGGTGAAATTGGCTACCGACATACCTTTTGCTTTTAATATCCATTCTAGTTTCCTCTTACAAGAATGGTTGATGCATTCTTATACGATTTAAATCCGAGGCTTGTAGGCTGCAACTTATCTCTGAATCGAGGCCATTTTTAAGATTTAGGAAATGCTCGATTATTGTTGGGTGAGATAATTGAAATGCTTGAACTGAGATTGTGCGACCGAGTAAATAATTCTATGAATGAATGGATCCAATCAGCTTGGAAAATGGAAGTATTTGTGTAGAGTTTTGTATAAAACATATTAGAATTGCATTTATCTACTCTTTGTTGGATCAATTTTTCATTTTGTTGTTCGAAAACTCAATGAAATAGGGTAGAGTTTTATATTTATTCCGAAAGAGCTCTTGGAGTTTTCATCTGATAGCAATTGTTCTGCAACAGGTGAGGTCGGAGGCCCGAAAAGTTCATGACCTCTTCTTTGACATCCTGAACATAGCATTTTCGGACATTGATTTCCGCGAAGCAAGAAGTGCCATGTCTTTCTCTGCAGCCCCCACCAGCGGCGGCCCATCTTCCCGGCAAACTTCCGGGAAGCGCCAGAAATCCGTTAAAGATGTGGACTCTGAAAACACCTCTTTAAAAAAGCTACAGACTCGACAGCCGTCCGAAGGCACCAAATCCCGAGCCTCTGTCTCTCAGAAAGACCCGAGGGCTGGCAGCAGCCGGGAGCCAACGCAGCCAGACAATGCCCGGGTTCCTCCTCCGCCATTCACTCATCCAGGCGACCTCGTCATCTGCAAAAAGAAGAGGAAAGACAGGGAGAAGTCGATTGCGAAGCAGCCGGGAAATAGTTCAGCCAGCCCTTTATCCCCTTCTGGGGTGGGGGTGGGGGTGGGGGTGGGGGTGGGGCGTGCTATTAAAAGCCCTGGAAGCGCACGCGATGTGGGATCGAGCCAGCAAGGCTGGCCTGCTGCCTCCCCCCGGGACAACAACGCTGCTGCTGCGGCTGCTAGCGTCGGATGGGCGAATCCTGTGAAGAAAATGAGAACCGATGCAGGAAGGCGCCGGCCGAGCCATTTGTGAGAGAGAGAGAGAGAAGAAGAGAAGAGAGTTCTTGAGAAGATGATCCATCTGCATTATGCCGTTGCTTGAACTGGTAAGAGATATATATATATATATATAGTGAGAGAGAGAGAGAGGGAGAGAGAGAGACAGAGAGTGAGAGACCCCATGAAATGATAAACATTCTGCGTAACTGAATTTGATGCACTTCAATTCTGGTCTTTTTTCTTGTTTCTTTATCTTTATCTTTCTTTTATAGCAGTATTATTATTATTATTATTATTATTATATTATTATTATTATTATTATATTTTTTAATGATGTGGGACCTGTGTTCGTTATTTTTATTTTTAGAGGTGCGTTTTCTGCCATTGCTAATTTATTTTACCAAATGCATTCCGATGATTCTTTTATAGTATAAAAAAGGCCTCTTTCTTTTTTTTCAGTGTTCCACTTCATTGGTTTATTAGCTAAAATATTAGTAGGCTTTTATATAGTCATCTTTTAGTAGCTTTTATATAGTCTCAATCAGGGTCTCGAGGTGAAAATAAATTATAGATTTTATAAACACATAATTAAAATGTATTTTTAAAGTAATATCATTTATTGGCGTCGATTGAACAAAAGATTGAACATGACGGACTGAACAATGTTAATATGAGAAAAGAAGATGAAAGATTTGTGTAGAAGTTCGAAAAGTGACGAGGATTGAAGGACGGAAGGAGGGTGAAAGAGATGAGAGAAAATATAAAACGGGTTTGATCTGAATTGGTGGGTGCAATGCGACAAGGTGTGAGGTAAAAAAATTATATAGAAAAAAAACTATATGATTAAAGTTTAAAATTTAATTTTAAAATTAATTAGATAATTATAAAGAAAAAAAATATAAATTAAAAGTTTAAAATTTTTAATTTTAAAATTTAAAAAATTATATTAATTTTTAATATTTTAAAATATGAACTCTCTAAGCTGAATAGTTGTTACTCTTACTATGAGCCGCCCCTGGTGTCAACCAGAGGATCCGTAAATCAAGTCACAGCTCTTGCCCACGGAGGATCGTGCTTAGGAACCTACACTCATAAATACTATCCTGTGATTAGTCCGAGATGAAATCCATCCTCTATTATCTTTGTTTAATGGCAAAATTGCTTATATCCCCCTGTGGTTTGAAAATTGGATGCTATTTTTCCTGTATTTTAAAAAACTGTGTGGTTCTTCCATGTAAACTTTGCACACTCTTCCCATCGATCAATTTAATCTAACGGTGTTAAATTTTATATGTAATGGACCGTTATACCCTCAATTAAATAACTCTCGTAACTCTTCTCTCTAGTTTCTCTCTTACCCCTCCCCACAGACATCTATCCCCACCATCCCCGAAATCGCCGCACCTCCATTTACAGACGAAACTCCAGGTTCTGACCACTATTCCGCGGCGGCTGTCTCTTCCGGCGGTCGCGGTCGCGATTTCGGCCGGGAACCGGTTTGCCATTCCTTCATCTTCAACGATATCACGGGTATTCAACTTGTTATCACGATTTCGGGCATTTCACGGGTTATCTTCTACCTCGTTCTTGTTGGTTTTTTTTTTCACAGGTTAGGGCATTTCTTCATTTTTCCTTTGCTTTCACGGACTATGGCAATTTCGGGTTGAGAAATTCTTCGATTTGTCATAGAAGTGGATTTTGGGTTTCAAGGAGGGGAGTCCGAAGGAGAAGAGTCCGATGATGAGGGGGTGAAGGAATGGACGAGGAGGGTGATGATGTTCGCGATAGTGACTGCCAACCGATCAGCTGGGGATCCTTTGCGTATTGGCTGGTCGAGACAGGAAATAACAGCGGGTGAGTGATCTGAGAGCCCAGCGGGGAGAAAGTTGGCCGAACTCCAAAAATCAGCCGCTTTTGCCAACCATGGTTAATCATAACTCGGTCGAGTTTTGCCCAAACATGATTATTGGACCAGGTGTAGCGACAGCCAGAGGAGGGCAAATCCGAGAGCCCTAACTCCGAAACACAAGCGAGGAAGTCCTTATAGTCATATGGAAGAACAAGACGACCACGAACTCGATCAGACGGCTGTAAAACTGAATTAAAATCACCAAGCACCATTCAAGGTTCCCGAAGGGAATGCCCAGTATGGAGCAGACTGCTCTAGAGATCACGACGCTTAACCAAGGAATTAAATCTATAGACGAATGAGAGAAATACCGTTGAGGAAGTGACTTTGCAGGTAGTTTTGAGCAGCATACACTGAGCCTCAATTTCCAGAACGTCAACAAAGACAAAAGAGGGGTTCCAGAGGATCCCAATGCGACCGCCTTTTGCACAGACGAAGTTATTAGTAAGCTCACAGCCGGGGAGTTTTCTATGGACAAGATCAGCGAAAAATCCACCGTTGCATTTCGTTTCCAAGACTCCGAAGAGATGGATAGAGTACTGTTTTATTAATTTCACCAACTCATTTTGTTTGGGGCCTTGGTGAAGCACTCTAATATTCCAAACTTCGATCTTCATTTGGAAGTGGAGGTTTGTCTCCCACGATTCCTGCGATTCTTTCTCCCATGCACCTGGTTCGACTGCTGAACAGAGTGTTTAGAAGCTGATTCTTTGGGTTCACCTTCAAGTTCTGAGCTAATTTGTTTCCCCTTATTGGTCTGTTGAGGGATATGGCTGTAATCCATAAGGAAAGTATCCACTTCTGAGGAGGGGGCAGGGGGAGGGAGTGTTTCCCTTTGTCGATCAGCTGAGAGGCACGGGTATTCTCATCCAGAGTAGAATCCAGACCTGAGGAAGGAGGGACAGGGGACAAGCTGCTAGGATTCTGATTTTCTGTATCGTGAACTGCCTGGATGCCCTGGTTTACTGAAAATCCAGCTGCCACAGCAGTGTTATGAGCAAGAACAGAGAGTTGTAGTAGCAGCAGGAGTAACTGACTGATGCCCTGGTTTACAGAAAAACCAGCAGCCACAGCAGTGTTATGGGCAAGAACAGAGAGCTGATCACCCTTCGTAATTGCAGTTGCAGCAGGAGTACCACGGATAAAAGACTGCTCAATCTGTTGAGAAGGAGTTGGGGCTGTCTGATCCTGAATCAAAGGGTTCGCTGCTGCGTTACTCGGTGAAGCTAGGCTACCAGGGATAATCTTATATGATATGATATGGATGTGTGGTGCATGAGGAAGCTTTTACTTTTTGAACCTTTAAGGGACTATAACTATGATCATCCTTTCTATTCTAAGTGTGAATTTTGAGATATAGATAGATTATGAAATACATATATATATATATAGGATATTTTGTGTGTGTGTATGGCAAAGGGTGTGCCATTTTTTGTGTTTCGAGGAACTTAAGACAGTGATTGACAATAAGACAGACGAACTGGTTACTACTACAAGAGAAACACGAATCATTTACGTCAACACGAAAATTTGTCATTCAATCATGACTCAATCAACATTACTCTTGCTAAAAGACTATTAGGTGACACCAATCCTAGGCACAAACTACCTAAAAGCACCGTAATACGAACGAGCAATACTACGCCTTCTAAACTACAAGGACCACATAAGCGACACTAGACCTCTTAAAAAATACACCCCGACGAGCAACACTGGACAGTCTAAAGTGTTATTTTTAACAACACAATTGCAATGATGGAGAAGCGATGGAGATGGAGTGTTACAACTTAATGGGAGTCATAAGGGTAAATTAGGTAATTTGAGTACTTTAGGAGAAGCAATCATAATAATACTCGCTTAATCCGTGCGTGCATACTAACCTCCGTTATCTTTTAACATTTGGGGGGTTACATGCAACGTTTCTGAAAACACAGGGAGAACACGCAGTTTTCAAAGTACAGGGAAATGACGCCCAGTTTCCAAATCACAGGGGATACAGGCAGTTTTGCCTTGTTGAATTATATCTTTATTATTTAATTATTTTTTCCAAAGTAATAAATAAAAATCATATCTAAATTAAATTTCAATGTTTAGTAGTACTTTACAAGTTTTCTAATAATATATTATTTTTTAATAAAATATCATTCTTAAAATAAAAATATACAACTAAATTTGAAATAGTTTGTAATATTTCAAAAAATGTTTTTGCATTATTTTTATTTTTGAGATTGATATTTTTAAAAAAAAAATTATATCGGAATTTAATTTTTAATTAATAACATTTTTTTGCTTTGCATTTTTTTTTTTTTTTTTACGAATTTTTGTAAAATATATAATCATTTTAAAAAATATCACAGTAAATTTGAATATTTTAGTTGAAATATTTAAATATGATATTTTTTATAAATTTTATCTAACTAGTACTCTAATTTGAATAGTAATTTTAGATTTGAAATACAAATCAAACGTATTTAATATATATTTTTAAAATTAATATAATAAAATATCAAAATAAAAAAAAAAATTAATAAAGTTTAAATTTGAATATAATATTTATTTTTATTTATTTATTTAAATAAAAATAAATTGATTAGCAATAAAAATATACTTAAAAACTAAAATATACAAATTAAATCTTATTTATTTTCTATCTCTTCTAATAGAGGAATTTTGAATAGAAAATTTGATGCCTATTGGTCCACCAAGGCCATGCCAATAGTGCGGGACAATTCTTTTCTACGGTGAGGTCGCTGTGCTTATGGGAGCTTCTCTTTGGTGCCCTTGAGGTACCGTATCTATTAAAGGATCTATTCCTTTATAAGCATGCATTGTTAGACTACTGTGTGACTGTAATAATTCACGCGTCTTTTCTATACTTGACGCGCCAATGTGTCGTAAGGAGTAGAACCTGTACAGTTTTTAGGTTTATAGACCTATGCAACACTTCATTAAATTGTTGATGCAAATATCTTCAATTCTACTATCACTAGAGCTGGTAAAAATTGACCCGACACGACAACTTGACACGAACCCGATACGAAAAAATTGGGTTTGAATCAAAGATTTCAACCCGATTATGTATACAGGTTGATACGAATCTGATATGATAATAAACGGGTCGAGTTAGGGTTGAACCTCTCTGTTGAGATATTTTAGATATTCAGTTTTAGATTTAGTAGATTTATATCTAAATTTGATCTTATCCATATATTAGATTACTTATATTTGAGTTTATCGAGTCTGTTTTGTATTGCCTATATATATAGGCTCCTTATTTTTATGATCAATAAGATAATTTCATTATTTTCCTCCAAAATTTCTAACATGGTGTCAGAGCCTATTTTTCTCATGCCGTAGATATAGCCTACCAACCCATATTTCTCCGGGTACATTCAACCTGGATTGTACCCGGAGGTCTTGTGATTTTGAGATCATGCCTTTGCAAGTCTATCTTTTTGCAAATTTGTCCGCTGTCTGTCTGGTCCTGCGTTCAATCTGAAATTTGTCTGCGATCTGCATATGAAATCTATCTGCTATCTACCATATGTCTACTGTCTGTCTGTTGCCTGCATGCGATCTACATATGTCGTTGTTTGTCTGTTGCCTGCGTGCGATCTGTCATCTTTCGTTGCTTGTTTGTTTCCGGAAAGCTGTCTATGATATGCCATATGTCCGTTGTTTGTTTGTTGTCTGCGTGCGATCTTTTTGGTGTTGCGATCTATCTGTTTTCGGCTCCGGTGGAGAGTTATCTCGTTTTCGGCTCTGGTGGAGTCATGTCGTTTTCGGCTCCGGTGGAGTCATGTCGTTTTCGGCTCCGGTGGAGAGTCATCTTGTTTTCGGCTCCGGTGGAGTCATGTCATTTTCAGCTCCAGTAGAGTCATCTCGTTTTTTGCTCCAGTGGAGTCATGTGGTTTTCGGCTCCGGTGGAGTCATGTTGTTTTCCGCTCCGGTGGAGTCATGTGGTTTTCGGCTCCAGTGGAGTCATCTCGTTTTCGGCTCCAGTGGAGTCATCTCGTTTTCGGCTCCAGTGGAGTCATCTCGTTTTCAGCTCCAGTGGAGTGATGTCATTTTCGGCTCCGATTGAGTCATCTCGTTTTTTGCTCTGGTTGAGTCATGTGATTTTCGGTTCCGGTATAGTCATGTTGTTTTCCGCTCCAGTGAAGTCATGTGATTTTCGCTCCGATGGAGTCATCTCGTTTTCGGCTCTAGTGGAGTTATGTCGTTTTCGGCCATCTTGTTTTCGGCTCCGGTAGAGTCATGTCGTTTTTTGCTCCGATGGAGTCATGTGGTTTTCGGCTACAGTGGAGTCATCTGGTTTTCGACCATCTCGTTTTGGGCTCCGGTGGAGTCATGTGGTTTCCAGCTCCGGTGGAGTCATATTATTTTCGGCTCCGGTGGAGTCATGTCGTTTTCAGCTCCGGTGGAGTCATGTCGTTTTCGGATCCGGTGGAGAGTCATCTTGTTTTCAACTCCGGTGGAGAGTCATCTCGTTTTCGACTCCGGTGGAGAGTCATCTCGTTTTCGGCTCCAGTGGAGTCATGTCTTTTTTGCTCCGGTGGAGAGTAACTTTTATTTTTTTTGCCTTTTTTTTGCGTTTATATTCAACTTTCTTATCAAACTCAAGTTGGTTTCTACTGTACCACTTGAGTTTGAGGGGTTATGTTTAGATATTTTAGATATTCAGTTTTAGATTTATATCTAAATTTGATCTTATCCATAGATTAGATTACTTATATTTGATTCTATCGAGTCTGTTTTGTATTGCCTATATATATAGGCTCCTTATTTTGATGATCGATAAGACAATTTCATTATTTTCCCCCAAAATTTCTAATACTCTCAACTTGAACGGGCACGACAACTAGATTATAATATATTAATATTGATTAATATATTAATTATATTATGTAAAATAAATATAATTTAATAATTTGCTCATAAATTAATTTA